CGTAGTAGAGATAAACAACAAGTACTTCATAAGGCTTCCGCTTCCATTTCTATTAAGTTGAAGTAGTAGATAATTGAAGGTCAGAAGATGCACTGATTCACAATAGGTGGTAGCTTTTTGTGCTATATAGGTAGCACCTAGTATGAAGTGGATAGAACAGATATATGTATACTCCGTATACTGTCTTTCTTTTACTCCGTAGAGACAACACCTCTCTTTAATTGAGTTCAATAGGCCCCAAATAGCAATTAAATGCATATGAACTACTCCGTGAATTGATCCGCCTAAGACAAACCAATATGTACTTCGCTTGTGTAGTTTTACCTCAATAGAGCCAGTGTTTCAGTAGTGGGGGCTCGCACCACTTTTTTGGATTTAGTGTCTTCTTGCTGGTTTCGGGCTTAAATGGGATTCAAAGGTCAATTCCTGGAACTGATCTAAGGAATAGCCAATTTGAAGGTTGAGGTGATCTCTACTTGAAACCTTGTCTGAACTGGGAAGAACTATCATAGTGGAAATGATAGTGGTGCCAGCTCCAGCTCTTCTATAGTGTTGATACCACTGAATGTAATTTAGAGGATAGCACACTAGCGCTCTTGCGTCAGAAAAGTTCATCATCTTCGGATCATGAACATAGATAAGAGACGTTGTTTATTATTATCATTTCATTTATTCCAAGGGTTCGTATACCTTCTCAGCAGCACCCTAAAAGCGGGCTAGATGACTATATTGTAGGATATCGGCAAAAACAACCTCTAAAGACAGTCAATCTATAGTGTTAGGCAAGGGGGTGACGAGCTACATGTACAATCTATAGCTCATAAGCTTATCAAAGTCTCTGAGTACAGACGTTGTACATTTTATGTATTCAATGTGGACTTTGGAAGTAGAGAAAATGCCAGTGGGATAAACCGATATCTATCAGTGTATATATACAAGCAGAGTGCCTAATTATTCTAAGTGCTACTTTATTTAAGGCTACAAGCGCAAGTGAACTCATAAAAACAGCTATTATATGAAAGTCCTTTAAGTAGCTCTGAGCCATGATGACTCCGGATCACTAGAATAGAACAAAAGTGGACTTTTTCGACAGATGAAACGAGTACGGGAACCTGTACTAGTATGAGACAGCGAGATAGAAACGCGTGGGAGGAAACATCGGGCTTAGTCCCCCCCTTGATACGGTGCCCAGGGCTGCATGTATCACCTTAGTCAGAGAACTCCCGATCCATGGATGCTCCAGCCCTGGAGGTTTCATATCTCAAACTCCAGGAAACTCCATCTCCCGAGCTTTTGACTTCCTCCCGATTTTTTTTTCTGTCAATCTGCTTCTCATTCCCAAGTGGGGAGTTGTGATCTCGATAACCCGATCCAAACCACACTAAGTGGCCCCGATCTCGCCCCAAAACAAGCTCAGACGGTAAGTTGCATCGTTGAGGTCCCTCATTTTGATTTCACCCGCTCTGCTGGAATTCACCCATTGTTTTACCCTGGTCAGTGTCTTTCAATATTCATATGTGGTTGTTCTACTGTCTTGTTCCCTCTTCCGACCCCCCAACAAGCCCCCCGCCGGGGCTGAGTGAGAATCAAAACCACTTGGAACATGCGGCTGACTGAATATCAGGGAACCGAGGTTATGTGTTGACCGACGCCGCATCTTTCTTCGGATCGCCCGTTCAACTTGACGCGAAGAACCCCCCGAGAGTGCGGAGGAAAAGGACACTGTGCCGATCAATCGCAAGCGACCAGCACGTGAAAACCAACGAGTTATTCGCTTGACCTGATTTAGCTATGTTGGCTCCTAAGCAGTATTCTGCACCTACGAGTGTATCTGCATCGCAACCACCGACCGCATACCACACCAATTCATCCCAAAGACCCGCGACGGCTACAAGAGCTCAGGATGGGATTGGGTTTACCAGCCCAACAAAGTCAGACCTTTCCGAGGGGCAAGATGAGCTTACATCGGTCCGGTGAGGCTTTTTGAGAAATTACAGAGATTCTATGGTGATTCTGACTGTCGACAGGTCCTGGGATGAGAGACGAGTGGTCGCCTGGCTTCACAGCATCAAATGTGGGCAATATGAGTCGATATTTAGAGGTACGCATACGCACGGCCCTTCCCGACTTTGCACCCAGGATATCACTAATGATTTACAGCCAACAATTTCAATGGGGACAATTTACTCGAATGCGACCAAAAGATCCTGCAAGAGATGGGCATCAAGAAAGTGGGCGACCGAGTGCGCATCTTCATCGCTATCAAGCAACTCAGAAACAAATCTGGAACAACGTCACGACAGAAAAATATTGTGGGTTGCGTGACATTATATTGGTTGTCTCTTCCAGTTTATGCTGATCTTCGACACAGAATACCTTAGCTGCGCTCGAAGCCACGGCGCTTTCAAATTCCTCCCGCCATTCTCATTCCCGCCTACCATACCGACGTACATCTCAGCTGGCTGATGATAGTTATCTGAACAGCAAATCTCTGTCTCAGCCTGCGTCGCCACCCGCCGGAGATTCTGAAAGAGGCCCATGGCGCAAGGACTACCTTAATCATCCATCTTCAGGCGGCTCAAGTTCTGGCCGAAATCCCGGTACTCCGAACGAAGGTCGACAGAGCTCCCATCCTCGAAATCCTAGTCTTGACGGTCTCACAATGGGGCCCCTTCCGTCAAACTCCCCTGTCATCCGTGTCATTCACACCGGTGGACAAACCAAGGTCTTGGATGTTCGGAACTGCAGGACACCGGATGAAGTTATTTTGTGTGTGTTGAAAAAACTACAGCTTCCTGAACACCAATACAGAAATTATTGTTTCTATGTTTTGGACGGATTGGACCCAGAACAGTCAAATTGCCGGAAGCTCACCGAATCGGAGCTCATGGAGATCTGCGATGGCTTCAACAAATCCGAGCGAGGTCGTTTGATTCTACGGAAGATCCATGCTGGGGAGCCCGATGAAGATGAGCTTCGTCGTGCATCTCAGCTTGCGTATGATGAGAGCCAGGCCACCCACCAGCATGCTCTGAATAACTCCAACCAGCGCCAGAAACACAAGATCCAGCAACTTACCGGCGAATCTTGGCATAATATTAAGCAGCCGCTTTCTCCGCTGGGCCCTCGACATCGCCCATCCAACTCCAGTGTTGACGAATCGCAAGGACCGAACAATGAACGCAATCCTGTCGCTAAACTCCGGTCGTTCTTCGGACAGAGACCTCCAAGTGAGATGATTATTCACGAACTACAATCGTTCTTCCCTAGTCATGACCGAGAAAACATCGAGAAGACAATGCGCAGATCTCAACGCTTGAGTCGTGCCGCAAGTCGAATGAGTGTCGTGAGCAACTACAGCGTTGCATCAAGTATGAAAGATGCCCCTCCTCTACCTCCATTGCCCCAGTTACCTGCGATTCCCACCATTTCCGATGCATGGCTCCATGGCCCTGGAGTGGCACAGGCAGTACGAGCCCCGCGTCCCATCTCAGTTTCCAGGTTCAACCTACCTCAATCTTCATATCGGGATTCTATTGCATCTAGTTCCCTTCAGCCACTTCAGGAAGAATCACCCACTGAGCCTAACCGAAAGTCGTATGTCTCCTTTGAGAGTGGCTCCGACGAAGCAAATCCATTGCGCCAGTCGCGCCAGAGCTTTGAGAGTCTAAGTGTCGCAGCCACAGATGGCGGTTCCTTTAATGATCGGATGAGCATGATTGTAGCCGAGGATGGCGAAGAAGAGGATGATGGCCTTGTGGACTTCCTGGCTGGAAATAATTTCGCACCAAAGAACTGGATGAAGGGATCTCTGATCGGCGAGGGTTCTTTCGGAAGCGTTTACCTAGCTCTTCATGCTATTACTGGAGAGCTTATGGCTGTTAAGCAGGTTGAAATCCCATCTGCTACTCAGGGCACAGAATTCGACCAGCGGAAGAACCTCATGGTCAATGCTCTTAAGCACGAGATCGAGCTGTTGCAAGGCATGTCCCACCCGAACATTGTGCAATATCTTGGCACCGTCGCCGACGACCAGTATCTCAACATTTTCCTGGAGTATGTGCCTGGCGGGTCCATTGCTACAATGCTGAAGCAGTACAACACCTTCCAAGAACCCCTTGTAAAGAACTTTGTTCGACAAATCTTGGCCGGTCTATCATACCTCCACGGCCGGGATATCATCCACCGTGATATCAAGGGTGCCAACATTCTAGTTGACAACAAGGGCGGTGTGAAGATCTCCGATTTTGGTATCTCCAAGCGTGTCGAAGCATCACACCTCCTCGGTGCCCGCGCCAGTGGCGGCGCTGGTGCTCATATCCACCGCACATCCCTCCAGGGAAGTGTGTACTGGATGGCACCGGAAGTCGTGCGACAGACTGCACATACCAAGAAAGCCGATATTTGGAGTTTGGGCTGTCTCGTCGTCGAGATGTTCATTGGTGCCCACCCCTTCCCGGACTGCAGCCAGCTGCAAGCCATTTTCGCTATCGGCAGCAACAAGGCTCGCCCCCCTGCTCCAGACCATGTGAGCCAGGAGGCTGTGGATTTCCTCGACATGACTTTCCACCTGGACTACGAGCAGCGGCCTAGTGCTGATGAACTGCTCCAGTGCGAGTTCTTGTCTGCACCTATCACATAATCAGCGGTAGTCGCGGTTTCCTTTCCCTTTCTTCTCTTCTGTGTCTCCTCGATGCATGTATGTACTATGATTTTACGTATGATGGTGACTTTCCCGTCCAAGGGTCTATTGAACGATTATATCATCCATGGTTCTTTCTCGGTAGTACTTGATGCAGCTGAGCATCAATTTCCGATCGTCTGGTGTACCGTTGTTCGTTGTAAATGTATGTTGAATTTAAGCCAAAGATAGTACACGGTTTTGAGTAATCACAACGACCATTATGCAGGTCTTCTCTAAAGTTACATGCTGGATATCACAAGACTATCCAAAAGGAGATATAATAAAAGACCAAGAGTAGTCACCAGGTAGAAACGATTTAGTTCACAATCTTGCCGTAGAAAGGAATACCCATGGCACTCAGGAGAAGTCGTGCATCCTTGTCAGTTTTGGCGGTAGTGTGGAGAGTGATGTGGCAACCAGGGATCATCTTGGGAGGATACCTATGAAGCAGGGTTAGCCTAGACGAAACCGTAGAAACGCGGAGGATACTTACATATCGTAGTTGATTTCAAGCTCCGGGAACAGAGCAACATTCTCCGGAATCAGACCGAAAGTGATGTTACCACTGCTATCGCCACTGGATCCCTTGACACCTTCCCAATCCTTGATACGGGGCAAGACGACATCAACCAGCTTACCAAAGAAGTGGTACATATTCTCGCCATAGAGCTCAGCCTTAACAGCGACAGAGTCACGGCCCGCCGCAATACCCCAAGGAGCAACGTTCGACTTGGACTTGAAAGTCTCAACACGAACATTGGAAATAGCCTGGACGGCAATACCAGCGACATGCAGCCAAGACGAGTTCCTCTCAGCCGCGGCGTTCTTGACATAACTGTGGATTGTGATGCGCTCAATCTCCGGGATGTTGTTGAACTTGATCGGCTTGCGGAGCAGACGCAGGACGTCGCCGCCACGGGGTCCGCGCAGCACACGGTTCTTGTGGTAGGGCGAGCTGTCGTCCCACTCGCGGAGACGGGCCGATTTGGGGGGAGGCTTGAAGCCTGGTGGCGTGTGCACGTAGCATAGTGTCATGATGTCGGGGGAGACGGTTGAGTCGAAGGTCTGCTCTGCTCGGGGCGCGGAGAACGGGCCTGGGACGAACAGCCGGGAGGAGGGATGGGATGGTGGCGGCGGTTGGTGAGGGTGGAGAGGACCACGGTTGTATTTGGGGGAGCGGAATTGGTATCTGCAATGAAGCCGTCGGGGTCAGCTCTGTTCAATTAAATGTGTTTGATGTTGTGTTCATGTCTGCAGATGGATGCGCAAGACTGGAGATGTAGTCGGAGTGCTCTTACCGGCCTCGGGGAAGCTGGTTCTTACGAGCAGCTGCTCGTGCAAGCGGGTCGAATGATGCTGCGGCGCTGTTTGGGACAGTCGTCGACAGAGAGGATGCCGATTCCAGCTCCGTCAGGTGGTCCGACAGACGCCTCGCCGGGGCTTCATCGGAGACATTGCGACGCGATAAAAAGCCTTGAGGGCGAATTGATGGCACAGATGCCCGGGGCAATGCCCTTGTTAGGTACCTGGATGGCTCTCTGGCAGCCATTCTGTGAAAAACGGAGTGCGATGGATTGGTGATCATCCCGGTCCCTTACCAAAAATTGTTCGCGCAGATGATCCTGTCACGTGAGCCACCAGATACTAACGCCTTACAGAACAGGCACCATACCTGAGGTCGGCTTTGGATAAGTTGATCAACTACTGTTTCCTGACCTATGGTGTATTGCACTCCGTAGTGGTGAAAGTGTTCATTTTCATTCTAGGAAATATGGTCTCACTTTGAGGACAGATGCTACCTATATCCATGCAGACACGACTCGACGGCCAAACATGGGGCTGGTTCCCGAGGTCATTTACCGCACTTACTACTGCAAAAAGGACACTTGATGTGAGATATTACCTTTATGGATGAAGTTACTTCCAAGGTTAGCTAGAAGCTTACTCAACCCTCAAAATTGATCTTGGTGTGGTGGTCTATATAAGATCATAGCCATACTATATACATCTATGTACCTAGATGTACCTTTCAACATGTATATCCTATCTTCGTGGGTAAAGATCCCTTAGACTTTATTTTAGAAGGAATGCCACTAAATTTCATAGACATAGCTATGATTAAGCCATGTTGTATGTAGTCAGAAGAACCTAAAGGATACACTGAGGATCAATCTGAATCTGACGCCGAAAGGACGAACGAGCTATCGACCAAGACAACCTGATGTCCTATGGGATGAAGTGATATATGCTGAGTCTGTCATTGTCATTTCCTACAGTGAATCTTACTACTACATATCTATATATCGATATCCTCATTCTTGGGAGTGTTCTAGAAGTTACTTGTCACCGCCCATCAGGCGGTGGGATTAGGGCAAATGACAGGCAGAAGCAAAAGGCCGAGCTCCCTGAGGGTGTTCCCGTGCCCCGCAGATCACCTGGAGGTTCCGTTCATCGACTTCAAATCAGTTGTCCACGGGTCTCAGTTGCTTACATCTTTTCGACGCGTGTTCATGTCAAGGGAGCTCTACTTATGATGCATCTTGCGTTTCTCAAAAATACTGCAGCCCTGACTAAGCTCTGAGCTAGTTTACAGGTCTCATAATCCCCCGCATGTCTCCAATCTCGGGGTCTTTCGTTTCAATCTTGAAAGTCTGCTCTTGACCGTGTCTTGTCTTTCCGCCCGCGATAATGAGTGGCATCCATCGGTTTCTGACGCGTCGCGATCGGCACAATAAGTTGAACAAGCAAAGCAAAGAAGAGGTAAGCGTGTACAGAACACCTCGATGATGTTTAAATATAAGATCTTACATTGGCTAATGTTCTGTACTTCTTAGGCATCACATATACTTTCGCGTCCTCTATTCCACGGTATTTTCAAGTCAGAGACAACTCTGGCAGATAATCACGATCATGAGAAGAAGGTATGGCGTAAGTGCATTGCCGCCAGATTGCACCTGTCTAATCAAATGCACATATAGGTTAAAGCTCTTGCTCAACGAATTAAGCAACTTGGAATCACTGCGTTAGAGGAAGCACACATGAGTTATGCATTGCAAGCCACGCAAGGTGACACAGAGAAGGCATTCAGCCTGCTACTTCTGCTGGAGGACTCTATCGAGGGAATCATTAGGAATTACACACCCAACACCAAGCTCCTAGGCGCGGAGAATCGCCAAGGGGTCACATGTTATCTGGACGCATTGTTGTTCGCCATGTTCGCACGTCTGGATTGCTTTGAGGCTATTCTATACAAATCATTCAGTGATGAGCCTCGTCGAAAGCTTGCAATCCTTCTAAGACTATGGGTGAATATGTTGCGATCGGGGAAGCTCATCACCACAGACATGGTTAGTTATAACACTTGTGGTTGTCCTCGTCTTTTGTATTGTTATTGACTAGTTGGCTTCAGACAAAACACCTGCAGGATGCCCTAGCAGAATGTGGTTGGGAAGATGCGGCCAAACTTCGGCAACAGGATGCTTCAGAAGCATTCACTTTCATTACTGAAAAGTTAGAACTACCACTTCTGACTTTAAAGATGGACATCTATCATACCGGAAAAGAGGATGAAAGTGATGACCACAAGTTCATCAACGAGAGGCTTCTCGAGGTTGCAATCCCGCCGGAGCCAACCGATGGACAGTCCCTCACACTGGAAGACTGCCTGGAAGCTTACTTCAATAACATGATTGAAGTTAAGCGACACATGGAACGACGCAACACCACTAGCTCGATTAGATCAGTGGATTCACTCTCCATATCCAAGGGGTCCACCTCGCATGTTGAAACAGTGGAGATTGAGGGTACGCCCACCGTGTCTCCCTCTCAAACAAATACACCGCGGGCCGAAAAACCAACCCCCTGGTCATCGTTCAGTGAGTTCACTGAATCTCTCGAGGCATATCGGACACCTGGTCGACGTGGTAGTATTGTGCGACAGCGATTCTTTCCTGATTCAAGTGAAGATACAAATACTAGAGATTCAAATCCGGGAAAAGATATCGGTGCAAATCAAGATACCAGTGGTGATACGCAACAACCGCGAAAGGGTTCGTACAAGAAAGAGGTAATGATGCCTGCATGGCAATTTTTCAGTTTGATACGTATGTCATCTCCCTTCTTTATATCCTTTGAGTTTTGTGTGAACTGACATGATCTTGCTTAGCATGGTATACCGATAATACACCAACAAACGACGCGCAAGTTGCAGCACACTTTTCCGCAAAGCGGCCGATCCTTGGGATGTGTCTGAAACGCTATTCCTTCTTGCCAGACGGGAGGGCAGTCAGACTCAATACACACATTGATATACCAACCGAGATAGGCCTGCCTCACTTCATCCAAGACGACAACTTGGATGCGAATGCTCCTATCTATGGGAGCTTTAAACTCTCTTTGCAAGCTCTGGTTTGCCACAGGGGCAAATCGGTGGACTCGGGGCATTACATTTCCATTGTTCGAGGCACTAATTGCCTCAATGCTGGCACTCCTGTCACCACCGGCCCGGAAGCCCCGGAGACATCAAAACACTGGATGCGGTTTGATGATCTTGCAGCAGAACGAGTGACACTGGTTGACATTGATCAAGCATTGAAGACTGAATCTCCCTATCTTCTGTTCTACCAAATTCTTCCGATCGGCGAAGATCCATCTGCGCCCAACATTCCTAATGCACCGTCCTCTCGGGCGTCAGATGGCAGTACCCTAGGCGATCAAACAGATTTCAGCCTCGAAGACTTGTCTGCTGACCGACCAAGTGTTGAGGTCACGGGGCCATGTGAGACTAATGTACAAACATTAGCCAGTATCGCAAGGCGGTCCAGCACAGCAGTCTCAGAAACCAGCAATCCAACTGGTCTTCAGCCCCGCTCTATTCCATCCTCATCCCCTAGGTTGGCACCGATGGAGGAAGGAAGTACAAAGGGGACATCGTTCTCGCGGCGTGGGTCTCGATCAGCAAGAAGTAATCCTGGAAGCCGTACTGGCAGCCAAACGGGTGAAAATAGAATCAGTGCCACTTTTTCACGCTTTGCGGAACGGCTTAGTCGAGATAAAATTAGCAATGACGGGTTCACTGAGGAGAATGAAGGAGACGAGTCTGCATTGGAGATTGATGACACTGTGGACGATATGAAACTCGGGCCAGCTGCCCATGAGAACAGGGAGAAGCGTGGAAGAGAGCGAACGAAGGATCGCGAGAGTAATAAGGGGAAGACAAAGGAGAAATCAAAGGAGAAGAGTAGGAAATTGGATCGGGAATGTGCAGTGATGTGAGTCAAGCCGGCGTGCTAGGATTTCCTTTTCATGTCTTGAGATACCCAGTCTGGCTGTTGCATGTTTCACAAGCGATGATACCCATGATACATGAGCGGAGGGACTTTGTGTTTGTAATTTATGTTGAAAGCAACAGGTGCCTACAACATAAGGCAATTATGTTTCTTTCGTGTATGTTATAGATCTGCCTAGGTGAGTACCTACTAACTAGTACTATCCATGGATGTAGTTCTGATCTGGTGATCCAGGGTCTTGGCCTCAGGTGTCGAGGCACCAGGCCTCCGCACTCCTTTGGACCTCAAGAGTCCATTCCGTCCTGCATCAACTCGCAAAACCTTTGACTTGCCTCAACTCTTGTATGAGCGGCATGACATAGTGCCCCTACAGCTAGCGCACCATGGCGCTGGACGGATCCAGCAGTTATGTTGCTCCGAGCAACTTAATGGAGCCACCGAGCTCTTCCCTCCCCATGTTCGACGTTGAACGGGTGCAGTTGGCATTTTCCGTCGCTGCGGACTTCGTTGCAGCGCAAGTCGCGAACAATGTGCTTGTGCTAGCCTTATCAACTAATCGCATTCTCCGAATCGATCTTGATTCCCCTGAAGATGTCGAAGGTAGGCTTCCGAACCTTCCCCGCAGCAAATGCCAGCCAGGACAAGCTGACCTAACCATGCTGATAAACAACAGACATCGACCTCCCCAAGAAATCCTCGGAAGTTGGAGTGATTCGGCGCATGTTCCTTGACCCGTCGGCATCTCATTTGATTATCACCACGACCCTCGGCGAAAACTACTATCTTCATGCCCAGTCACAGTCGCGACAACCGAAATCATTGACGCGATTGAAAGGCGTGTCAATTGAAAGCGTTGCTTGGAATCCCTCTTTACCCACCGCCTCTACTCGCGAAATTCTCCTTGGTGCCACTGATGGCAACGTCTACGAGACTTATATTGAACCCTCCAGCTACCGGCAGGAGAAGTATACCACCCCGGTCTACCAGGTGCCAGGCGCTTCTCCGGTGGTCGGAATCTCGGCGGAGTCGGTGCCATCTAAGCCTGATCAAAGAAGGGTACTTGTGGCAACCTATGGGAAGCTACTGCATTTCATTGGCCGGACAGGAGTCTCGAAGCATGGGAGGGAAAGCGGCGTGTATTCGGAGCTTTTCCAGCGCGAGACGCCAGTGATTCACGAGGTTCCAAACCCGTCGAGCTCTGCGCCATCTTCGCTGGTAATTTCGCCCACAATTTCAGAGAGCTATCAGGCCGAGGGATATACCGAAAAGCAATTTGCATGGCTCAGTTCCGAGGGGATATACCATGGCCAACTTACGTCGGAGTCTCCATTCAAGACCGCAAATATGCTTGCGCGCTCGGTATTTCCAGCTTCGGAATCACCGCGAGGAGGGCGGAAGTTGATACAAGACCCCATTTCTGCCATGACTCTGTCACAGTGGCATGTTCTAGCACTTGTTGGGGGCAGAGTGGTCGCAGTCAATCGTCTCAGCCAGGAAGTTGTCCACGATCAACCCGTGTTGGAACCTGGGCAAAGCACTCTGGGCCTCTTGACTGATCTCACCAAAAACACATTTTGGCTCTTCACCAGCAAGGCCATTTTTGAAGTTGTAGCAGGTGACGAGGACAGAGATGTCTGGAAAATCTTTCTGAAAGAGCAAAAATTCGATGAGGCCCTTCAGTATGCCCGAGGTGCTGCCCAGCGAGACGCTGTTATGACTGCTTCGGGCGATTTTCTGGCAGGCAAGGGTAACTTCCTCGAGGCAGCCAAAGTATGGGGCAAGAGCAGCAAAGGGTTCGAGGAGGTCTGCCTTACCATGATTGATCATAAAGAGCATGATGCTTTGCGGAACTACCTTCTCTCCCAGCTGGCAACATATAAGAAGGCTTCGCTTATGCAAAGAATAATGGTCGCGAGCTGGCTTGTGGAATTGTTCATGTCAAAATTGAATTCTCTCGATGACAATATCGCCACGAAAGCCGAGTTGGCAGAAGGCACAAGCACTGGAGAGATCAAGGACCAGCTTGGCAGCATTCGAGCTGATTTCCAAGAGTTCGTGAACAGCCACAAAGCGGACTTGGACAAGAAAACTGTATACGATATTATAAGCAGCCATGGGCGGGAGGAAGAATTGTTGTTCTTCGCAACCGCTACGAACGATCACAACTATGTTCTATCGTACTGGATCCAGCGCGAGAAATGGCTGGAAGCCTTGAGAGTTTTGCAGCGGCAAAGCGAAGCCGATGTGTTCTACAAATATAGCAGCGTGCTGATGACACACAAGCCGACAGATCTGGTTGATATCCTGATGCGACAGACGAACCTTGATCCCGAGAGACTGATTCCCGCCTTGTTGAATTACAACAAATCTGCCAGCGTCTCCTCCCTCAACCAGAACCAAGCCGTTCGGTATCTGAACTTCATCATTCTCAATCACCCAAATCCATCCGCAGCGGTCCACAACACACTTATCTCAATACATGCCTCCAGTCCTTCATCGTCTGAGGCTGGACTGCTTACCTATCTCCAATCGCAACCATCATCCCCTCCTCCATACGATGCAGACTTCGCACTTCGCCTATGCATTCAACACCAACGAATCCAGTCATGCATTCACATCTACAGCACAATGGGACAGTATCTACAAGCTGTAGAGCTAGCCCTGGAGCACAAAGACATAGAACTGGCCGCGATCGTGGCAGACCGCCCGGAGGGCAATGACAAGCTCCGCAAAAAGCTATGGCTTCTCGTCGCCGAGAAAAAGATCCGCCAACCAGGCACGGGCATCAAAGATGCGATTGAATTCCTGCGCCGGTGCGAGCTTCTCCGCATCGAGGACTTGATCCCGTTCTTCCCCGACTTTGTCGTCATCGACGACTTCAAGGATGAGATTTGCACTGCTTTGGAGGATTACTCGCGCCACATCGACTCGCTGCGCCAGGAAATGGATAACTCAGCCTTAACAGCCCGCCAAATCCGCGGTGAAATTTCGAGTCTTGATACTCGCTACGCCATCGTTGAGCCAGGTGAGAGGTGCTGGATCTGCTCGCTACCAGTTCTCAGCCGTCAATTCTTCGTTTTCCCCTGCCAGCATGCTTTCCACAGTGACTGTCTTGGTAGGGAAGTCTTGGACGGCGCTGGTGGCAAGAAAAAGTATATTCGGGATCTGCAGGCGCAGCTCAGCAGTGGCGATGTCTCTGCCTCACGGCGTGAGGAGATTGTTAAGGAATTAGATGGGCTAGTGGCTGAAGCTTGGTATGTGTCTTCCCTATTTATCAGTAGTATATCTCACTAACTATATTTCCTCGCAGTATCCTCTGCGGTGACCATGCCATCAAACAAATTGACAGACCCTTCATCACAAGCTCGGAGACCGCCGAGGATTGGGCTCTCTGATATGCTCTCATATCCGCCATGGTATGAGGCACCGTATAATATCTTCCTCGTTTGATGCTCAGACAATATTCCTGCAGAGGCACTTTTCCTAGTTTCCTTTTTGACTTTTCGCAATACCCTTCCTTGTCTTAAGCAGATGCTACATGATAAATTAGGCCTAGCCCTCGTATATAGACATGGCTATACTGAATGTGATTTGGATCCAAACATTGATTTTGAACACATTTGAAAGAGAAATAGCGTACCTAAATACAACAGACACGCTGTGATTAATCCACCCAATTCCATGCGCAAATAAACAAATTCCCAGAAAGGTAGTTGGGAAGGTAGGAATGAACAGCAGAGGGCTATCTCTCATAACATAAAATAACTATAATACCTACCCCACAAAACGCAAGGCGCCTAGTTCTCAGGCCATAGATACCGCAGCAGTTCCAGATCCTGCGCAACGGCCGGACTGTGCGGCGCACAGTCCTCCAGAAACCCTAGCATCTCCTCATTCCAGCGTTCCCAGCCGTCCGGCAGTGTCTCACGGAGATGTGCACTTGGTGAATGGGCTATGCAATAGAAGAGCAGGATTTGGCCAAAGAATCTTGAGCAAAGATGGGTCAGTTCAATCCATCCAAACACATAGTTATATTGGGATGCAAAGGGAGATATGGAGGGGCAACTCACTGCGAGCAAAAAGCAAACCTAATCGGAATACAGCTCTTCATTTTCCGGAAGATGCCCTGAGTGATCGGCCAGTCCATTGCGTTCTGGAGACCGCTTCGCACTTGCACAAAGTCTTCATCTGTTAGAAGATGCGGGATTCGGAGAGCTTTGTATAAATACGGGCGGCCGATGTGGAAGCGCGCGATCATGTGCCGGCCTTTTAGCATGGCGTCTGCTACTGCTATTGCTGGGGAGAGGGGCTGGTTGGGAACTGTATGTCTTGATCTTGGGGATGAGAGGTGGGCCGGAGATGCTATTGAGGCGGACGGGGAGGGGTGGATGGAGGGTGTTGCTGGGGTTGGGTGTGATGAGTAAGAGGCGTTGTTGAATTGGATTGTTGCTGGGAGGTTGGTGCGCCATTGTTCTAGTTGATGGTGCAGCTCAGTGGTTATTGCCGGGAGGGGGAAGGTTCCTGAGTCCGCTAGATGGAGGATGGGTGTTAGAGGATGAAGTTTGGTTTTGTTTTGGTTGTCTGAGCAGAACGGCAGGATAACTCACAATAGAAGTAAAGGGAATGGCGGATCCGCGTGAGGATGATGCGGTGGGCTACCTGAGCCAGGAAATGATATTGGAAGTATGAGTCGTCGACTACGCTTGATGGATTGAAACGGTTTGAGGCGTAGCCGGTTGTTTCGAAGCCGATGAATTTGGGAATTGGGACTTGTTCTTCGAGACGAGAGAGGCCACTTGGTGGCAGGTGCAGCTCTTGTACGAGGATGGTCTCGTTCATTAAACAATTCCAGTATACGCGGGATTTCATATCGCCTTCCCACTCGTCGAAATTCACATTATGGCTGTATGAGAGTCAGTATCGGCCTAGCTGGTTGACATGTATACGGCAGGACTCACTTCGTCAACATTGATAGACAGCAAGTAGCAGCGCGAGAAATCATTGTCCAAGAATCGATCGGACGGGGAATCTGGCTATAATATACACTATCGAAGGTGAGTATCAATTTGCATATAGAAGCTTGGGCATGGATACGTACGAGGAAAGAAGGTAGAATTGACAACTCTGGATATCGTTGTCGCACATCAAGAAGCCGATACGTCGCCGAGCCTCGTTGAAGAACCGCAGTCCAGGCTGCTCTTCGTAAACCACGTCCATCCATTCCGGGGGTTCAAATCGAGGGCTCTGAGTACCCGGCAAAGGGTAGTTTCCTTCTTGGTAGGCGAGGACAGCGAGGCAGCCCAATGCTAGTACGTTAAGCACTAGACAGCTCTCTATATTATATCCAAAGCCACTTTCGATGGCTGAACCAAGAGTGAAGGAAAAGAAGAACCCCTTGTCCATAATAGGGGTGGAGGGGTTGAAAACACTGAAGAATGCATCCGCCAGACCTCTGATCATTGCCAACGGGAGTACTTCTAACCAGTGATCTCCCGCTTGTACCGGATACGCACTGGTAAACATCGGCAGCGGAGGGCGCGCTGATTCCAGTTCAGTGACATAGTTTTTCCCGAGCATTTCATAGGCCGCGAGCAACTGCTTCGGGAGGATCTGTCTTGCTCCAGGCCACACGATGACACCATGCTGACTGAAAGAGATAGAGATCCGGCCTGCAGAGTCTGGCTTTGGTTGATTCTCTTCAAATTCAAAGTCATCTCCATCCCCAGCTGCCGCAGGTGTGAAGTTATCCCCGATGGTCAGCATTGATAGGGGCTGGTTGCCATCGCCGCCAAAGGCAGGCGATAGCTGCGTCTGCGTTTCATGGGTAGGAGGACGAATCTGGCTCTGAAGAGACTGCAGATCACTCAAAATAGATGTTGGTATGTTTTCCAACTTCGTCTCCAGTCGATGGAGAGTGCTCATGATCATCGTAAGAGATTGGTCGCGTCTGCAATTGTATAAGCAATTGAATTAAAACCCATCGAGGGTGACCTACTTTGAAGATTTACGCTCATTATAAACACACTCTAGGCCAAGCGACTTACATAGTCCACACCTCGGCCGCGATTCATCGCATCTCGTCTTTTTCAAGCGACAAGTCTCACACGCCTATTACTGGGGGTTAACGGCCTCCGGGGGACTCGGTCGCGTCACTTAATAATGTAGGCGAGGCAACAAGAGCACTTACCACAGTAGCAATGAAGTTCCTGGGCTTTTTGGAGGGTCCGGATGATTGACCGTGCTCCTCCTCGCCAGGAGAGAGCAGGTCCTGAATGGGCAGCAAGCCATTATTATCGGCATCGGGTGACATGTTTGCACCTGCCCTGGACTGCTCGAGCGTCCGCTTGCTCATTTTGCATCATCGAGAATGGACTTTCTCTCGCGGCATCTTGGGTGATATTGAGTCGGTCTTTTTTTTTTTTATCGCGGAACGCTGGGGTTTCTCGGCCAATCAGAGGCCATTGTGCTATGAATCATCGCTTCCGTCGTGACTTCAATGGGTGAAATAAATCAATCTACGATGTATATGTGTTAGGGATATATAAGCTCTTGATCTGTGCATATGTTTTGGCAGTTCACAGGTTCTAGAAATATATTGAGAGATGTGCATCAACCAAAGATATATACAATGTAGATCTTCCAGGCACCACACATCGAACAACCAAGGGTCTCTCTTTTCCGGCAGAGGTCCTAGAAACAAGTAGAAACTACCTAGGCATTAAGTAAAATAATCAATGTAATTAACGTCTGCTAAGGTTGAAGACAACCATCTGGGCCTATGTGATCCACCTACGTGGCCATGTGTACAACCAGATCCACATCATGTCAATAGTGAGTTGGGTACCTTGTACTCCGCAGTGCGTATATCCGTTGTCAATGTTAATTACCACATATTCACTGTTGGACTAGACCCAACTCCAAGGGACAGATTCTGAATCCGTTTGCCGATTCCCAACACGACCACTGCATTATTCCACAGACTCGAAGTACAATACGCATCGCCACCAAATAAATACAGAGTCTAGACGCAAGCGGAGCTCAATGGGTACCAATCTGATCCGAAGCACTCCATACGCTCCAAATAGAAGCAAGAAATGACTGCTAAAAGTCCATTCGGCCCTACCTAGGTGGTCTCCACCTTATTACTCATTTTCCGTTTCATATGGGTCTCTCAACGTCACTCAATTATGAGGACTTCCCTTTCTTAATTACAATCCGTATTTCTGAGTTACTAAATTGTAACAATGATCCACCTTGAGCGAAAAGGGGATGTCAGGGTCGAATGACGTTGACAGGACCCTGTGGAATGTGGCATGGGATTAAGAGGCCGAGGATGCTGTTTTGTTTATGGCTGCCTTCTGTACCTCTATGTTGCCACCTATATTATCGGGAACTTATAGTAAAAAACATGGCTTAACCGTTAAAAGAGAGAGTGACATGCCCGAAGTCATGATAGATACAATGTTATAATGGGCTCTCCGAACAGAGCATACAAGGTAGAATAAAAGACATAGGGTAGGTGAACTACAACGGAACTGCCGAGGGCAAATATGCTGCACATCGTAGTAGCCAATGCGTCAACACAAGCGGCCCCCACTGACAAGGCGACAGACTCGGGCTGTAAGGCAAAAAAGGGGAGACATGTCCCGTGTTGACTCGGCAACAGGGACGAAGAACTCGACCTGTCAAGCATGAACATATGTTGTACTGACACAGCATGAGAGTCCCTTCGCACGATGCGTCTTAAAGGAAAAGGGGCCTCAGGCAATAAGGACCCTTGCATCGACATTGAAAATTCCAATGTTTATTTTCTTTTCCTGCAGCAGCGCGGAGTCGTACACGGAGAAAAAGAGACCTACAGGAGGCTGGGATCGCCCTACAATGTCCTCCGTACATCGCGCAATGCAAATGCATGTCGATGTCCTAGAGATGTTTAGTACTCCGTACTCCGTAGTCGTACAGGCCATATGCAGTGTTCCGGCTCCTTCAACGTATCCTAGTCTCGAGTCATATTGGCTTACACACTCGGATTGAGTAAATGTAGAATGTATAAAGCTTTGGTTCCGGTTAGTGTATATAGAGTGAAGGACAAAGAATGGCACAGCATGCAACATATCTAATAGTATAACATATGAGATTAATACACGAGTTTAGTCCAATTGAGGAAAACCAGCTGAGACCAAAATCCGGGGAAGTGGCTCCCTAGTCTGCTAGGCTATCTCACCCCCTCTTTTTACTTGGCATGTCCATGCTCTCATTATTCTCGTAGAATGGATGATAAACATGATCTCATTATCGACGGACATACGTCCACTACTATGTACGTATACTAGTCCAATGCTATAACTGCCACACAAACTTCCATTATCGGACTTCCATAGCACTTGGACTATCATGACCCTTCAAATACCGTCTGACATGGATTCAAAATTCAGAACTCGTCCGGATATGATCATGGAATGACGATCGTGCGGGGTATGGCATGATAGTCTATGATAGTCCATGGTATTCTACGCATGATAATGATGATTCGGATTGAACCATGGATATCTTTGATGTTGGGAGATTTGAGGGACTGTTATCGTCCCTATCGGAGGGTACTTCCACTCGCCCAGAGATGTTTATACCCGGGAGTATGCTCCGTGGCTTGATAAGACAACTCGTATCTCATATCTCATATCATATCGCAAATGCCGGATTCGGAAGATTACTCCAGCTCGGTATCATGTTTATCACTACATCCATGGATGTTACATGTGTAGTCATGTACGTGGCTACGCAGGCAAAACCACGCAATCGTACCCCTAAAGTAAATAATTTAGAGGAGAGACACGTTTCAACCCATATCTAGGGGGCTGATAGGACGGTTGTATAAAATTTATCATTGGGGTCGGTTCTTACACGCTGATCGCTTTCTTCTGATGCGTGAGCAACATTAGATGACGAATGCTTTTTGGGGTGGGTTGAATGTACCTAGGTAGACTATACTACAGAGTAGGTTTTATATATATGCGGCATATCAACATATCGCGTACGGACATTATTATTGATGCTATACGTTGTACTCGAGGAGACTGCATGAAAGGGAACGGGAATGATAACCACGGAGCCAACCACAGTGGCTGATGGCTGATGGAGGGGGAGATCAGGACCAGACACTGAGCCGTGCACATCGCCTTTTTGCAGATCTCACTGCAATACGGAGTACCAAGTAGAGCACTATATTGCGTGCGATGTACAATATGCTAGGCCCGATGCACCCAGGGGATAATGTACCGAAAGGGGGCGGATGTGTCCATATACAATGCACAGCCCAAGAATTCAATTGGGAGGGTCGCGATCTCCGACAGGAATGGGAATAGAATGGGGTGATGATAGACGTAAATGGATGGGACGTCGCGTGATGCATAGGAGTTGCCGGACACCGAAGTCGTGCCACATATCCACATTAACTCTATCGTTTCAAGAGTCCGGGTGCTATGTACTTTTGAGAATGCTTTGAATGGAAAAGAGAGTGTACATCGTACCTATCAACATGAGACCTGCAAGGTCAAACCTTGCAGCCCGCAGGAGGCGGTCAAACCTGATCTAAGGCCAGACCACCTGGGCAGCGAGGGCGCTCCCCTTCACCGCTTGACAGGGCTGCGTGGGTGTCTGAAAGGTGGTTGGGACTCATGACCATTGGGAGCACGCTCCACTCGAAGTACAACATAGCAATATACGTGGCTTGTAGTTCTTGGGTTGAGATGGTTCTCCAACGTCCCTTTACTTGTACTGGAGACACATCAGTAACTCCCTACAACATATTCCCGACTGATGATCATATTGTTTCCCGCTGATATGGAAGATAAGTCGAATTTGGCATCAAAACCCCGCAAACGATATTAGATAATATGGGTCAAACGAATCTTGTCTCATAATCCCGCGCGGCAAAGAATAACGTTAATAGTGCAGCAAGTGGTGTAACTGGGACATAGAGAATTATTAGAGAATCAGAACCCTTGGAAGCTAGTCCAGGGTCAAAGATGGTCCACACCATCCGAAACGAGTCCCGCTGTGTATGAAGTACCTGCGGAAGGGTACCTTCCCATAGGCACAGCACACATACATAAAAGAAGAAACAGCATAACTGAACCGACTGCAGTATCCGGGGTGGGCCAATCAGAAGAGATCACGCCATCCCACTCTATCGCGTCATGCAGCCTGTAAATAGTGGCCAAATAATCTATCATGATTGGCTGGTGGCCCCAGAATTGGCTGCGCAATAATACGCATTGGGAGTAGCGCGCCACCTTGATCCGCCCTCGGCCGACGAAACTCCCAAGGCAAAGGGCTGCCCCTGCTGATGTCGACCGTCATTGTGACTGGCTTGTCTCTGAACCAGAACCTCGAAAGTTTGGGATGTTCGAAGTCTGAAGTCTGAAATCTGAAAGATAAGGCTACGTAGATGATGCGATGGCCCAAATTTGAGGTTGAAACGGGCAACCAACAATGGAATTTAACGTTATCGCGTTATCGTAGTAGACAATGACTCCATTGAGCATTTGACAATGATCGAGATCACGTCGACGTTTGACGTCTTCACCAAGGATAAGGAATGCCTGGAAGGTTCATGAAACTTGGAGAGCCCGAATTGGACCATCGTCAATACCGGTATCCATTCCATACGTTACGAGTTTCCCCGGGAGACGGAAACGGGCCAAGGACCTTCGGGTGCCAGTCAAATTTGGCGGGCAATGCAGATCATACGGATGAACCGCCCACGAGGGAAGACCTGTATTTTACGGTATCAGACCGGTATGGCCAATCATTTTGCCTCTCCAATTCCCCTCACGCCTTTACAACACCTCTTCTCCCTGGCTCCTTCTCTCTGTCCCCTTATACCATCAACATCCATCTTCCCTCGTTCCCTATCATCTTCTCTTTCGCTCTCCTATTTCCCACCTCCCCTTCCGCCTTTCTACCCTTCCGAATCCTCTCTCTGCGCATCACTTATCCGTCACTTTTCTATTACTTCGAACGCTTCCAAGGTTACCAAGATTGCCGTGTCTGCTTGTCATTATATCAAGACACTGCCCACCGCGGACGGCCTGTACTCCTCTATCGACAACTTCAAGGTTCGCAGGTCTGATCCTATTATACCTCGGACAGAAGAGTATTTCTCTCGCCTCTCCGTCCAAAACCCCTTTCCCTCGGTCTTCCGGGTCCACCCTGAGCTCAGGTGACTCACAACTATCAACTTGATAAAAGAGTCTCAATCCCGGTCTGTCGGAGCCATTGTGCTATCAATATCTCCAGCCTTCGTTACTTCAATCCACACGAAGGTGTTGCCTGCGTTGTGGGTCCTACGTTTCGCTGGTTGAGCTTTATCGTGAGAGCACTTCCGGAGTTTCATACCTCAGGGGCAACCTGGCATCGAGCATCTCTACTTTTCCAACTTGGATTAGAAGGGTGCTCTACCGGATCCCTCAATTCGCCCAGCCAATTTGCCCCAACAACACCATCTGGCCTCTCATGACTCATTAATCTCAATTATCTCCAACTTTTGAGTCACGGCCTTCGACCTTGAACCCGGTGTTCATAGGATCTTTTCCCGTTTCTTTTCTCTTATACATCTTTGACCTTTCAAATTACGATATTACGCAGCGCTTTATCTCAACTCTTCGATTCATCCGGTATCAGGCCGACTTTCAAACACTGGTCCATCTCTCTTTGACACATTCGTGTCGTCCACCTGGGACCCCTTCCCGTTAACCAACGAAAAACGACATACAAATGAGCACATAACGGTCTTTACCCATTTCCTTAGCGTCGACAACCCTTCCTGGGTTCATTCAACTACGCCGTTGCGTCATCATTCTCTCCTCTTTTCATCTGTCCATCAACTTTCACCAGTACATTTTTTTATATGACAATTCGAGCCTGTCCAGGATCCCGTTCATCTCAATCTACTGGCTACACTCAGCTCTTCTTTTCGCCCGTCTCTATTTACCCTGGGATCCCGCGCCTGATACTATTCTTCCTTGTTCTTTAATCTTCATTAGCCTGGTTGCTTTTTGCTTATCACACTTCGACGCATTCTTGACACGCGTGAGTGTTGTTTTGAGCGGCTCATAGACTTGTTTTCACTTCATCTCTTTGTTGGAGCATTACATCAGTCCGTTCCCCCATTTCATCTCATCTCTGCATCGTCCCTTTTGGGATCATCAGGCCAACATGTCGACCATGGAGTGCTCGAAGGAAGAATTCGTTGAGGGCCAACTTTTGGATGGTCGTTTTCGAACTGTGGCCCCTCTCAACCATGGGTCTTTTGGAATAGTATTCCTTGCCACAGATACCGAGACAGGCCAAGATGTTGCTATCAAACGTCTAATCAAGTCCTCAACGGGTTCCTCCGATGATCGCTTCGAAGAACTCGAGTGTCACCGACGGTTTGGTTTCCATCCTAACCTGGTCAACTTGATTCATACGTTCGACACCGAGACTCATACCTACCTTGTTTTGGAGTACTGTGCCAATGGAGATCTATACGAGGCGATTCGCCATAACCGTGGTCCACTGGAGACCGAGCACGTTCGGGATTTCATGCTGCAGCTGATCAGTGCTGTCGACTTCATGCATGCTAATGGCTTGTACCACCGTGACATCAAGCCGGAGAATATCTTCCTGACACAAGATGGCTCCATGAAGCTAGGCGACTTTGGTCTTGCCACGCAAGATTCGTGGTGTCACGAGGCGTGTGTTGGCAGCGACCGCTACATGGCCCCCGAGCAATATGATCCGACAACGACGGGATACTCCCCCGCTAAGGCCGACATCTGGTCTGTGGGTATCTGCCTGTTGAACATTCTGTTTGCTCGCAATCCCTTCGTCACTCCAACCGAGTCCGATTTACTCTTTGCGGATTATGTGCGCGATCGCCAGTCGCTCTTCGACATTTTCCCCAACATGTCTCAGGACACTTACGAGATTCTGACCCACGCCTTGACCATTGATCCCTCCAAGAGGTCTTTGTTGGACGTTCGTGATTGCATTCTCCGCGCGGTCTCTTTCACTACCGACGACGAATCTCTCGATGAGTTTTGCACCGAAGACCGTGAGGTGGTTCCTGCCAGCGCCAACCGCGAACCCCTTCGCACCCCGTCTCTTCAGAGCCCCCATGTCAACCAGGGAGATTCTTTCCCATGGGCGAAGGCGCTCCAGTCGAGTCCTCCCCAGGCTATCCGACAACTATCTGCCATTCCGGACAACGAGAGCTACAGCGAGGATCTGTTCCCGGCCTCCGAAGCTGCGGGAACCTCATGGTTCTCGTCCCGCATGGAAACTCCATCAGTTGCTTCTGTTTTGGACTCTCAGCTCAGTGAATCCTTCGTCTTGCTCAACGTTCGCAAACGTGAGATGCCGTCTCTTCCTCGGTCTGATCCTGTTTCCATCACTGGATCACTGCCGTCTCATGCGACCAAGCCCCTGCCTTCTTTGTCGATGGTGTTTGGAAACAAAAGCGCCGACAAGATCTCAAAGAGCTGGTGCGACATGTGGGACGAAGAGGAGTCTGAGAATGAGGATCTTGCTGTGGCCCAACGACGGGAGCAGAACTCTCGCAGCTGGAGCCAAGAAAGCCAGGGAGCTGCCCTCCCAAGGTTGCGCGAGCCGGACTCCGCTTCCCTCAACCAGCGCTCTCACGGCCCAGACGTGGATCTGAAGATGGAACCCAATATACTGGGGGATCTTTCTCTTGACGAAGATAGCGACTCCAGTGCCTCGAGTAGCACGCCTCGCCCCTTGCGGAACTCTCCAGCAGAGCCATCTAGTGCTGATAAGTGGTCGATGCTTGGTGACGTGAGACGCAAGTACAAACCCGAGGACGAACCGCGCAAGTACAAGCCTCGCAAGTCGCGTGAGGTGTTTGGTCCCAAGAGCGTTGCTGCCAACGCTCGGCGGCACGATTGGGGTCGAGGTACTTCCGGATATCACCAGACCAAATCTAAGCCCGCATCGCCTGTGGACGCTCGTCGCCGCCATTTGCTCGAACGCCAGGATTGGCGTAGCAATGTCCCTAGAAGCTTCCATCCTCCTGACGAAGGAAGCGTTGACGACGATCTCGATCTCGTCGGTGGGTGGCATGAGACTCACTTCTAGGGTTTTCGTTCGCACTTCACTCCAGCCTTACCCTATATTCTCCCCTCATGTTCATGTCTGCTTGCATGTCTCGATTCAGTTGGGAAAAAAAGTTCAAAATTACCCACGATAAATTAATATTCCGCTTTCTTGTCTTGTGTCTCTTTGTTCTCGGATTGAGTGTTTCGTCTGTTTCCGTCTGTCCTCAACGGTACAATGCCACGTGCATTGCATCATCCTCCATGGTCGTCCAAACTGTTTTCTTTTTCCTTCCTGTACAATATCAGACCGAGGCTCACGGACACTGGCGGAGACGATGAATACGAAAAACCACGAAAAAGGTTAGAAGGCTGGGTCGGCATGCGCTGGTGGATATTTGATTATGACGGGAAGCTTTCTTCGCATACGAACTACACGGTTGGCGTGGATTCTCCAAGGGAAAAGGTGGAATGAGTTGCGGCGAAGTCGATCCTGGTAGGATGACTTGGTGAAATAACCGCGGCCGTTTTCTCTTGATTGTGTTATACTGTAACTAGTTACGACAAAAGGGAAAATTGATCATCATCCGCAAAGAATTTGGTCTGTAAGATTATAGATGATTAATCTGTAGTTGTTGCCCTGTAGTCTTATTGAATCCAGGACGTTGTCCTCCCTAGGCTAGCCCTGAAGCTCACCGGGTCGAAAGGCGGTCAAAGTCCACCCGCCGAGATGCCACTGGTCCACTTCACCTGCCATTTGTTCCACTCGATCCGTTTCTTTCTGGAGACCGCCATTTGTCGCTAAGCTCGGGTTTGCCTAATCGCAATCTCTCGCACGTATAGTGAAATACGAGAAATCCCCCGAGTTGACTGCTCTTACTCCCAGCCACGATGCGCATAGCACGCAGGTCTAATTCATAGCTTGAACTCAGGGAGCTACACGAGTGCGACTATCTGATCATCAAATCGACAGTATGTTGACTGCGGGCCGGTCATTGACTTCCTGGATATACCCTGCCGCGATCCTTTTGGCTCTCTGCCACAACGCGCTCTCCAATGCGACCGCCCACCCACCCCCCAACGCGGCGCAGGCTGCTCTCCCCACGACATCAGTGGGAACATGTCCGGCGAAGAGTACCTGGCTGACGGAGGCGGAGCTCTTCCATCTGCCGCCGTGTTTGGAGACGCGCTGGGGACCGGGTCGTGATATGTACCTTGCTTCGGCATTACCCGATCCAAGTGCGGCAGCCGACGATCCGGTCGTTAATTCATCTGCTGTATCGAGGCGGTCGTCCGAAGAGGCAGCGAGAACGAGGACAGATCAAAATACAGAACAAGACCAAGACACAGACTCGCTATTGGACGGTGCTAGTTTCCTCTCATTTGAGGACTGGAAGAAGCAGAACCTAGCGAAGGCCGGACAATCAGCCGACAATGTTGGAGGGAGCAGGCGTGCTGTGGCAGCTGGAAAGGAAGACCGTCGGCAGCCGACAGGAATCAACAATGCTTTGGATTCGCTGGGCGACGACTCCGAGATCGAGTTGGACTTTGGTGGGTTCGGCGCTGAGACGCCCGAGGCTAGTCCTACCGCTTGGGGCTCGCATATCCCGTCGCGCGAGGCCGGGCAGGCGGGGAACGCGGATAGCAGAGGAAATGTGGATGTACACGTGCAGGGTGCGTTCCACAGAGATGCGTCGCGCCGTAAGGATGCTGGCACTACTTGCAAGGAGCGGTTCAACTATGCTTCGTTTGACTGCGCGGCTACGGTGCTGAAGACGAACCCTGAGTGCAAGGGTTCGTCTTCTGTGCTCATTGAGAATAAGGATAGCTATATGCTCAATGAGTGCCGCGCTCAGAACAAATTTCTTATCCTGGAACTTTGCGATGATATTCTGGTTGACACGGTTGTTCTTGCCAACTATGAGTTCTTCAGCTCTATCTTCCACACATTCCGAGTTAGTGTCTCGGATCGGTATCCCGCGAAACCGGACCAGTGGAAAGAACTTGGTGTCTATGAGGCACGCAACACTCGTGAGGTGCAAGCTTTCGCAGTAGAGAACTCGCTTATTTGGGCTCGATACCTTCGAGTTGAGTTCCTCACGCACTATGGGCATGAGTTCTTCTGCCCTGTCAGCTTAATTCGGGTGCATGGAACCACCATGATGGAAGAGTACAAGCATGACGAGAGCTCTGACCGTGCTGAGGTTGAAGAGTTGGAGGCTAGTGAAGCCAATCAGCTTCCCGAAGACCTGGAAACCAAGCCTGTCGAGGTGCCTGTCGAGAAACTCATTCCTGCGGTGGAGGCCAGCCTTGCAGCGGATGAGGTTTGTCCAAACCCTCTATTAGAGGCTGTGCCACCTTTTTCGAAATACAATGACGGAGATATATGCGGCATTAATTATGGCCCGCCTGTTATGACTCCGTCGACGTCAGCCACAACGGATCAGACCAACCCACCGCCGAAACAGGACTCTACTGCTGTAATTGGAGGCAGTCCCTCCGCGACCAATGCTGGGCCATCTGCACCCCCAAAAGCTGAGGATGTCCGAAAGCAGGGTGAAGCTGCCAAAAACGTCGTGACCCCTCCGGATGCCTCAAGCTTATCTTTGGAGCCGGCTCAGCAGAATGCCACATCCGAGACTACAGGGAAAGCCACTACCAATTCCAGAGAGGAGCAGAACAGCCCTCCCCCAGAGTCGACAAGACCTACAAACACTCAACCGCCATCTGCGAACCCCACGACCCAAGAATCTTTCTTCAAATCCGTCCACAAGCGGCTCCAGATGCTTGAGTCGAACTCAACCCTGTCCCTTCTCTATATTGAGGAACAGTCGCGCATCTTGCGCGATGCGTTTAACAAGGTTGAGAAGCGACAGCTAGCAAAGACATCTACCTTCCTTGAAAACCTCAACGTGACTGTTCTCAACGAATTGAAAGAATTCCGCGAGCAGTACGACCACGTTTGGAAGTCTGTTGCTCTTGAATTTGAGCATCAGCGCATGCAGTACCACCAAGAAGTCCACTCCCTCAGCGGCCAGCTCGGTGTCCTTGCCGACGAACTAGTTTTCCAAAAGAGAGTCACCGTGATCCAGAGTATCATGGTTCTCTGCTGCTTTGCTCTGGCCCTGTTCTCACGGGGTTCGGGAAGCAACTATATGGAATTCCCTGCCGTTCAAAGAATGGTCGCTCGGTCCTACAGTCTGCGGTCTTCATCTCCAATTTTTGCCTCTCCATCGGCTAGCCCGGGATCGACACGCCCAACTTCGTCCTCATACCATGAGAACAGTAGCCATCGCAGAAATCTCTCTGACTCGTCCGACCAAGATAGCGCTGCTAGTCCGACTGCGGCCTATTCCCCGCCGACGCCTACGTCTTCAACGGAACGAGATGTCGAAGAGACGGACAAAGCGGAAGAACCTATCTCTCCCGAGTCTATGTCTGTGCCTACTCTGGCGACACCACAACCCCGTTCTCAGAGTACGCCGCCTGTATTGAATGGCCGCCCTGTTGACCTGGATATGGCCACACCGGCTGATGTCGACCTGGGTATCGCTAATCCACGGTCACCTGAGCTGTGATCCTCCGTTTAATGGCTATAATGGCTTTTCAGCCATACTTTATGACCCTTGCCTTCTGATCTTTATTTACTAGCGCTTTGCATCTGTACACTGTACTATGTACCCTATTGCGTGTATGCTTGGACGACGATATGATTCCCACTGGTTTAATTCTGTGTTTACTATTTTGTTTGTGATTATTGTTGATATTGCCATTCTTTAAATTAAAACCATTAAAACTCATAAACAAAAGCCTGTAATACATACGAAGTACATAGTAACAATATCCAAAGGGAATATGCGTCATACTCAGGGCAACGTTGCCCAGCCAACAATCAACACCCATTTTTCCATAACACAGCCCGTACCGATTTTCATCTTATCCGATTTGTTTTTCGTTCTTCTCTCAATCCTCTAGAATACTACACGTCTCTACAAATCTCTTAATCCTTTCAATACTCTTCAATCTCTACCACATCCACAAAATGGACGCAACCACACAAGCTCAGCCTCTGGCCGACCGCTCAACCAATACCCACCTGACCGCGAGCGACAAGACCGACCTGAAGGGTCCAGGCATCTCATCAATGGAGTACCACCGCCAGGTGTTGCAGGGCAAAGTAGCGAGTGAGGAGTGAGCATTCTCCAATATTATTTTCTGTGCATGGAACTAACCTATTATAACAGACAACCAACCTCCTACGTCTCACCCTCAGACGATATTATGAGTCCCTGCACAAAGAAGTTGAGCGATATCAAGGGCAAGCGGTTTAAGAAGTATGTGACTTCCGGAATGTCTACACTTCCAAAACTAACGAACAGCAGTGCCGGCAAACCCCAGTCGTTATTCGCTAAGCTGGGCAAGAAGAGCTACGAGCAATCTTCAGCGGAGCAAGGCCGGACCGAAAACTAAAAAGGACTCGGGTCTTTTGAGATGTTTCTTTTTTTCTTTCTTTCTTTTCCTTCTTTTTCCCCCTTGGACTCTGATTCTATGGTCTTTCCTTCAATCTCTTTTACTCGGCGCCGGTCGCTGTGTCGGATGCATTGAGGAAAGGCAGATTTGAGATCTTGGATATGATCAGGTCCTGAGTTGGGATTTTTATTCTTTCTACGTGTTCTTTTTTCCTCTTTGTGATGACCTGCAATGCCTTTGCTTTTGTGTGTACGGGGTATGGGATGGATGGAACTGTAATTGGGATATCTCATGGAGCACATTGGAATCAATGCAATCAAAAATTTTCTTCTTGATATTCTAGCGTGAATACATAGTATGTGTCTGGTATTATACCTAACATGTAGTTCTTTACAGAATCCTGCCTCGGTCAACTTCTTATATAGACCTCGGGATACTGAAATGCCATTTTCGGAAAGATCTCGCAGAAGCAGGAGCAGTGCGGTGGGTAAGAGCTCCCTTTCCTCTGGAATTGCTTTGATCTTCGCCTATGTTGTATTCATCTCTGTTGAAATGGCTGCAGCTGTCAATGTTCCCTTTGATACCTTTACGGGCTTTTAGTTAGACATTGTGGCAATTGATATTAAAAAATGATTGAATAGCAATACCCTTAGTCCTATACATACATATTTCTCTAAGACATACAAAATAGGTCTCGGTGATCTGGCCGTAGTTGAATGTGAGATGTCCAGATCAATCTCCCAAGTCGTCCGGTTAGTCGAGCCGAGGCAACTCGACAAAACCCGTCGGCTTCTCCACCTTCTCCGCAATTCTATGGACCTCGTCTCTTTCATATTTCCTTTATATTCGGTCGATTCTGCTTATATTTTGCATCAATCATTCTTTTCCAAAATGTCCGCCTCTTCTCGTATTCCCCCCATTGCCCAGCCGTTCGTTAGCGAACAGGCCAAGCGGACACTTGACTTGGTAACTCATTCCCCAATACCCGAGTGCAAGACAGGAACTACTAAGAGCCTCCCTGTTTGGCCTTTTTTTTAATAACCAGCTAATGTGCCTTCAGGTCGAGGAATTCGTTGAAAAAGACTGCATCCCCGCCGACGCCGTCTTCACGGCCCAGCTCGGCGAAGGTGAGAAGCGATGGACCACCACCCCCGCCGTCTTGGAGGGCCTGAAGGAGAAGGCCAAGAAGCTCGGTCTGTGGAACATGTTCTTGCCCAAGAACCACTTCACTCAGGGCGCTGGATTCTCAAACCTGGAGTATGGATTGATGGCCGAGTTGCTCGGCAAGAGCAAGATTGCCTCGGAGGTGTGTTATTCTGTTCTTTGTCTGGCGCATTGTTTTACTCGGGGCGTCTTGCGGATTGATACAATTGATCGCTGACCACCATTTTCTATCACCAGGCTACCAACAATGCTGCCCCAGATACCGGCAACATGGAGGTGTTCGCCAAGTACGGTAATGACGCACAAAAGAAGCAGTGGCTTGCACCCCTGCTGGAGGGCAAGATCCGCTCTGCTTTCCTGATGACCGAGCCGGACGTCGCGTCTAGCGATGCGACAAATATTGAGCTTAACATCCGCCGGGAGGGCAATGAATACGTGCTGAATGGCTCGGTATGTACCTCTCCAATCGCCAAAACCACTTCTTATCCTCGACTTCTAACAATCCAACTACAGAAATGGTGGTCCTCCGGCGCCGGCGATCCCCGCTGCGCAGTTTACCTGGTAATGGGCAAGACCGACCCCTCCAACCGAGACACCTACAAGCAGCAGTCCGTCATCCTCGTGCCCGCCGGGCTACCCGGCATCACGGTGCACCGCATGCTGACAGTATACGGGTATGACGACGCGCCGCACGGCCACGGCCACATCACATTCAAGGACGTTCGCGTCCCCGCATCAAATATGGTCCTCGGCGAAGGCCGCGGCTTTGAAATCATCCAGGGCCGTCTGGGACCCGGTCGTATCCACCACGCCATGCGGGCCATTGGCGCTGCGGAGCGCGCGCTCGAGTGGCTGATTGCCCGCGTCAACGACGAGCGCAAGATGACCTTCGGCAAGCCTTTAGTCGCGCACGGCGTGATCCTCGAGTGGATTGCCAAGTCGCGCATTGAGGTCGATGCTGCCCGTTTGATTGTCTTGAATGCTGCTATCAAGATCGATCAGGGTGATGCTAAGGGCGCACTGAAGGAAATCGCCCAGGCGAAGGTTCTGGTTCCCCAGACTGCGCTTACTATCATTGATCGGGCGGTGCAGGCTTATGGTGCTGCTGGTGTCTGTCAGGATACCCCGCTTGCATATTTGTGGGCTGGTATTCGTACTCTGCGCATTGCGGATGGCCCTGATGAGGTGCACTTGCAGCAGCTGGGTAAGCGGGAGAACAAGGCTCGCAAGGATGCGGTTACTGCTAAGTTGAACTGGCAGCGTGAGGAGGCTGATCGCTTGCTTGCTGCTTCTGGGTTCAAGCCTAAGAGCCATCTTTGAGATGGAGAGATATAGTTTACGATATAGTCGCTTGTTTGGGCTGAATAAGAATGCATGGACATTTCTCTGTTTTGACTTGGATCTTGGTATTAAGGTCCGTTGGAATTGATAGTCTTACGATGGAAAAGAAGTGATATAATAATCAAGTGAATGAAGGACTGGTATAGATCGTTATTCAACTCGTAAAAGCCTAACGCCAAAAAGATGATTCCTGAACAAAATGATCATGGACATGGACATAAACATTCAATCCCGAGATGACCATGAAAATCCCATGAGCCCAAAAACGATACCTCGTAGAGCAGACAGTGGTACGATCCCCCTCGACTCGCCTGCGAGCGCAAGCAACAATGCAAAAAAGGAAATATAAAGAAAATCACTTTTTAGTAGTCGTCATCCTCAGGGTTGTTGCGCTTGCCCTTGGCCAGGCGCTTGTTTGCCTTGAAGTGCTTCTTCGAGTTGCCTTTCACCTCAGAGACATCCACGCCACGCTCAAGAGCAACCATCATGCGCTCCTTGCGGCCTGTTGGCGCCTTGCGCATCTCCTGGCCCTGCTGGGTGTATCGGGACTGGAAGGGCAGGGTCAGACGACCGGCAGAGGGGCCGGTTTCTGATCCGAAAAAGCCCGTATCAAGGTTGCGGGAGGTGCGACCGAGCTCCGGCTCCACGGACAGCTTGGCTAGGTTGGAGGGGTCCTCTAAGTCGACGTCGCCGGCGGGCTCTGCAGTGGATTCTTCTCCTGCGGCATGCTTTCCGTTTCCAATCTTGGCTTGTATGAGTTGTGCTCGGCGTCTTTCGGGAAGATGGGCGAGGTCGTATAGGTCGCTGTTAAACTCGACGGTGTCATATGGAGTCTCGTCCTCGGCAACTGGGGGAGGGTTGACCCAGAGAAGCTTGCCGTTGACATAGTCCTTCAGAACGTATCGTGCAGCGCGGGACTCATCGGGCTGACCAATACCCTGAGTAGAGAAACCGCGGGCGCGAGCGTAGGCACGCAGAATCTCGCTAGCAGTGGGGACGCCAGTGCCGCCCTCTTCGATGGGACGCATTCTGAGCTTCACACCGTATACCTGCTCAATGAAATGCTTGGGGATACGCTTGGCGACAATACCGGCAGGGCCGGTGAACTCGCGCTGCTGATCGATGGGCAGCACACCATTGACGACCAACTCGGCCTTGGTGGTGGCGAAGTTGGGGAACACGAGACCGGGACAATCGCACAGCATAATCTCGGGCGAGAGGTAGAGAGTTTGGAAATGCTTGGTCTTACCGGGTGTGGCAGAGACGGAGACCTTCTTCGCACCGAGAAGGGCGTTGATGGTACTGGACTTGCCCACGTTGGGGTAACCGACCAGACCGATCGTGGTCTTACGCTTGGGTTCGCTAGACTCATCTTGCGGTAGTGATTCTGGAGAGTTGGCCAGGAAAAGCTCCTCCAGTTCGTCAGTGTCCAGAATGTGTGTCCCAAGTGAGCGCTCAGGATCGGCAAGCTTTGCTCTTTCTGCCTCTACTGTATCCTCCTTGTCTCCATCATCCTCATTGGCGTGCACGTTGATCTTCCGCGCCGACTGGGCAAGTTCAGCATCCGAGTCATTTTCTTGCTCTTGCAAAGCGAGGGCCTCGTTCTTCTCTTTGGCGAGGTGAGCAGAGAAGAAACGGAAGTTGATATTGTTCTTCTCGAAGTAAGCAGCCCAGGCTTCTCTCTGCTTCAGACTCAACATATCCGCCTTGTTGACCAACAGCAAGTTCTTCTTCCGAGAGTCAATCTCCTTGACGTAACTCTCCAGATCCTCCGAACGGAACTGCAACGGGTTTCGCGCATCGACAATCTGCACGATAAGATCGGACCGCTCAATGACACGCCACAACTGGCGCCAGACCTCCAAGTTGCGCTCGAATGGGGTCATCAACAGATCGTGGTTTTCAATCAGCTCCGCCAGTCCTCGTCGCCAGTCCAACAGACTTTGTTTCTCCATCGTTTCTAGTTCATTTCGAGTCGTGGACTGGTCCCACTTGGGTCGTCGGGGAACAGTTAGGCGGTCCTTATTCTTCTGGTGCTTAATATAAGCCTTCTTCTCTTCGGTCGGAGTGAGAAGGAAAGGGTTCTTCTGATCGGAGTGGATGATCTTGACATTGTTGATTTTTTCAGCGGTAAAGTCAGTTCCGGCTAGTTCGGCGGTACTCAGGAATTCGTCGAGCGCTGCCTGCTCGGTGATACTGCGCATCTTGACCCATGAGGCCTCCTTTGCCTCGTTGGTGACGTAGGTTTCACCATTGACGCCTGTGCGCTGGATGGCATTGTTGTGAGAGATCTTCTTCTGAGAGGATGCTTTGCCCTTTCCAAACCGATCGTTCATGAGACTGGAACCCAGTCCCACAGATTTCTTAGATTTAGCCAAAACCATGATGGCGATGACTTTAGATTCCCTAAAATTGAAAAGAAGTTGCAGGAAGCAAAAATTCAAGTCGAGAGACACAACCCCCACCTGAAAAAGGGAATTTTGGATTATTCAGACGGATAAGATAACGCTGACTAAGCCCCCTCTATCACCTGGGCAGCCCTGGCTCTGTCCAGAGCCTTCCAAGAGAGGACATTTGTAACTATGGCCATGTTTTTTTGGACTCTTTTGCAGGTTTCATCGCTGTATCCGCATTATAAGGGTGTGAATTATAGGAATACACAATAATAAAGCCATATATGAATCACAATATGGTCTATAACTACGATTTATGGTCCAATCTGGGACAAATAGTACTAGTGATGCGGGCCACCGTGAAGCGCCGAGCCCAATGAATACCCAAGTCTCCAAGCGAAGTTCCACAATGAAATCAAAATCAAAACGAAATAGTGTGGAACTTGGAAAGAAGACCCCTCATTAAACATCGTATACTCCATACAGTTCGAAGATTCTGAGGACCCCCGGAGAACGAGGGGCGATAAGCTACACGTGACCCTATCAATCCCACTTTTTTCCTTTTTTCTGTGATACCAAAAATTGACCAAACCAAAGATGCCGCCCAAACAGTGGATGTAAGTATCGTGCGAGGATGATTATGGCGCCAAAGCTGATATCTTCGTAGTGACAAGAAGAACGCGAGCAAATTCCAGCTCTTCCACCGGTCTCAAAATGACCCATTGATCCACGATACCAATGCGGACGACCGTTTCCTGTACCAGGTCGGAGGCCCCGCGCCCGCGCCCGCATCGTCTTCCGCATCGAACACCTCGAAAAAGACATTGCCAAATTTGTCTGATCTCCAGTCCGAATACGGCGACAGCGCTCGCAAAAATGAGGGCGAGGCTGCCAACTATGGTGTCTACTACGATGACACCAGCTACGATTACATGCAGCATCTCCGCGAGCTTGGAACCGGCAGCGGAGATGCGTACTTTGTCGAAGCCAAGGCCGAGAAAGGCAAGGGCAGAGCTGGTCGAGGGATGAAGCTGGAAGATGCGCTGCGACAGGTCTCGCTCGTGGATAAAGATACCTATGGTCAGGGCTCCTCCACTGGTCCCAGTCTTTATGGCTCGCAATATGGCGATATGCGCTCAACTGCTTCATCCTATGTCCGCAAGCCAACCTATCAAGACCAGCAGAATGTCCCAGACGCAATTGCTGGATTTAAGCCTGACATGGACCCGCGGCTGCGAGAGGCGCTGGAGGCGCTGGAGGACGAAGCCTTCGTGGAGGAGGGCGACGCTGACGGAATCTTTGGCGAATTAACAGCAGATGCCGAGGAAATAGATGAGGGCGACTGGGAGGATTCTCTGTTCGACCACGATGTCGAAGATGACGGATGGGAGTCGGATGCTACGGAGAAAGCGCCCGTTCAGCCGGACAGCACTGAGCCTCATCGCTCTGTGGATGATGACCTACCGGAAGGGCCTGTGAAGCCACCAATCGAACCCGGCGAGTTGCCTGAACATGATAAGCCGGCTCCCGATATGGAGCCCACTGGCCAGAGTTGGATGAACGAGTTCGCCAAGTTCAAGAAAGATGCTAAGGCTGGCAATGCTCCCGTGCCGGCTGCACCCACAATTGCAGCCTCCCAGACGATGGCGTCAACCGTCTTCACTGCTGGTGGAACGCCAATTCGCCGGAAGAAGCGTAAGGGTGCTATGACCAACCCGTCTGCGTACTCGATGACGTCGTCCGCTCTGGCCCGTACTGACGGCCACCGTCTCCTGGACGACCGATTTGACAAGATTGAGCAGCTCTACTCTCTTGACGAGGAGGACGAGTACGATGACAGCATGTCCATGATTAGCGGGATGACAGGCGCAACCGGCATGACGGGCATATCCACCGCATCATCCCAGGCCCCCAGTCTGGTCGATGGTAACGGTGAAGCCGTACACAGCCGCAGCGCTTTCAACAACGTCATGGACGACTTCCTCTCCAGCTGGGACCCCAATACTAGTGGGCAGGCGAAGCGACACGGCGCTAAGCACAAGCGTGGCAAGAACGGTAACGAGGCCATTGGAATCAGAATGCTCGACGAGGTGCGATCCGGTCTCGGCCCAGCTCGAATCCAAGGCGGGAAGGGCAAAGTCTCCGGAAGAGCTTAGATGAATGTTTGCACTGCATATGAGACGTCGGGAACTCCCAGTCACGACATGGCGTTGGGCTTTTTATTACTTATTTATTACGGCATTCCTGTGCGTTAGGGTTGATATCTCTTGATGGCTAGACCAAAAGTTATGTTTATGTCTCGATGCTGTATTGTGTATCCTTACTCTCTATGGACGAGTACCTTTTCTACAACAGCCCACGAATTCACTCGTAATGCACTGACATCATGCAAGTGAGACTGCTGTTTTTCATCATAAAAAACAGCCAGGATCCCTTCCTCGCGCGCAGCCTGAACATCACGAATCCTATTATCGCCGAAGTATATAATATCTTCAGCGGCGATACCATATTTCTCCAGCACAATACCAAACATCCCATCCACCTTAGACTTGCCGACCTCATTCGTTGTCACAAGGACATCGACGTAAGACCGTATGCCAAGTTCCTGAATCGTCCACTCCTGCGCATCTGCCGGACCCTCAGTAATGACAATGACTTTCTTTCCCAGCCCTCGCAAAGTCTGCAAAAGATGCAATGCACCCGCCTTGAGAGTCAAGCTTTTGCGTAGAGAGTCTTGATATACCTCTAAAAGATGACCCAGCAGAGAGTCATCAACGAAGCTGTGCGCCTGTAGGAGATGCGCGAACCGTTCGCGCCGATACTCGCTTGAAGTCCTGCCATCTGTGAAGGCATTTGCGGTCGCATTGCGCAGGATATTTTGGTATGTATCGCTCAGGATATCTATACTGGTCTCGTTGTTTGAGGCGTGAATTGTTTCGAAAACGCAGATCGAGGCATGGGCCGAGGCTCGTCGGAATTCGTGGAGCGTGTCATCTAGATCGAAGCCGAACCAGGATTTTGAGGCGACAACTTCTCGAATAGACATGGAGGTGTTTCAGGCCGTGGTCATTCGAGGTGATTTTAGTGTAATCGAATAGAGTGATTCATATAAAAACCTTCCAAGGTTGATGTAGTGTATGACTCAGATGAGATGTTCTCGAATGGTGTGATAGCATCAACCATCACATCAATCTATACCCCAAGTATATTACAGATTCGCTATTATTTTCAAAAAGATATTTATACAAAAGACCAAGAAGTGAATCAGAAGGCGCCGCCAACCTTCTCTACGATCCACATGGAAAGTCTCACATTCCATCCGACTCGCCTTTCCGTTCGCATCAGGTCACCTCTCGATACAGGGCTGGCATCTTTCTGAAGCCGCTCCGTCTCTTCATTCAGCTTCTGCTTGAGATCAGGATCGTTTGTCACGACCACCGCACCAGTCTCAAGGTCTAGGCTGTAGCTGCGCTTTGTGTAGTTGCTGCTACCGACGAAGGTGAGGCTGGGGTGTTCTTCGCGCGGCAGTGTAACCCACAGACCTTTGGCATGGTAGGTCCACCCGCCTGGCGTGCCAACAGTGCCCTTGCGCCACTCCTTCAGTTGAACGGAGTCGGTGGCATGTGCATCGGCGACGCGATCAAGGAAGCGGGCAGAGAGATGTGTGTATGCGGCTGGTAGCATTCCCGAGATTCCAGAGGAGCCAAAGAATCCATTCGCCCACGGCGAGGCCGTCAGAACGGTACCTTTTGTGGTAGTAGGAGTTCTCCAGGCGGTGGTTGTACTGGAAATTAGGAGGGACGAAAAGACAGGGTGCATATTGAAGTAACCTGCCGTGAAGAGCCAGCGGGCACCGGCAAAGACTGATGAGCTTGACAGGAGATGGAGAATGGTCGTCACAGCAGGGTATTCTGTAGATGTGTCATCGGGTTGCATGAGAGAAGTAAACTGCGATACAGGGTATACATATGTTTGACTTGATGAGGAGGGGAGCGCAGGTTTTTTGTCAGAAGCCTGAATGAGCGGGCTCAAGAACGTCGAAGAATAGGCGATGAACTTTTGAGGATCGTCAAGAGGAGAAGGGGATTTGTTTGTGGCAGGCCAGTCCAAAATATAGCTAGATTTGCTCTGAGGGTCTGGCAGCACCTGGAAGCTCAGAGTGCAGATTGCATGGTGGATCCCAGCGTAATATTCAGTCAGCGCCTTGGAGTCGAACACATGGTATCGATCTAGGCGGCTGGTGAAGTATTCCTCGGATAAGTTTGCTCTGCAAATATATTAATATCCCACGTTTGTACGAGCCTGCAGATAACATACCCCGACAGAATAATCTCGTCGTCTATCCCGTACAGCTTCATGTGCTGCAAGCCCCAGCCTTCGTTGACGCGGCGAGGGATCCACTTCTTTCTTAGACCTGTCAAATTGGGGGTATGAAACATCCGAATCTCGACCCGTTCAGGTCCGTACTCTTCAACCAACGAACAAAGAAGTGATGCGCATGAAGCATTCGGTGTCTCCCGTGTGCCGCGCAGAGCGTCTGTGAGAATAGAAACTTTGAGATCCGGATTGCCGCGGAGAGCCTCGCTTAAGGTGTTGATAAGATCGTGTTCTGTCTTGCCGATGTACAATGTAGAGAGGTAAATGCGCCGCCGGGCATTGCGGATTTTATTCTGCAGATCTGAGAGTTAGTTCCAAATTATTTCGAGATAAACAGAACGGAAGACACCTTCAATGTAGAGTAGAAATTGGCCGGAGAGTCAATGATATGAATCTGAGACGCAGGCACCTCGAATCGAGGAGCAATGCGGTCTAGCTCCGCGGTGATTCCTGCTAGAGGTGAAGGAGCGGGTGCTGCAGTCGTAGCTCCTGTACCGGTATGCGCAGAGAATTGGCGAGCATACACTCTCCGACGTGCGACAGGGCGACGCCCAGCGCAACGAAGCGTTTGCCCTGTAATGCGACCGAACATGTCTGAATATCCAAGTTCGAGGGTTTTCTGAATCGGGATAATCCATGGTAGAGCGGGGTGCAAACAATGCAAACGCACCGCCCTCAGCAACCTCAAATCGCCAATCTCTCGCATCCCATTCGCTCTAGCACAATATACCAGCAAAGATGTCGACTATTGTGAGGACGCTGCGCAACCTCCGCCGGGTCGGCTTCAAGGTTCGTATAATTGCGATCTATTCTCTATAGAAACTCGGTCGCTAACAGACTTGCACAGGATGCCGCCCACCAGATGCAGGTAGGTTACGGACGACTCCTTTGGAACAGCAGGTCAATTGAATGAGCTCGAGACTAACCAGTATCCCTGTTCGCCGTGGTTTAGTACATTGGTATGTCGCCACTCCATCGATGTGTGCCCAGCAGTCGACTAACAATACGCTCTTACAGGTGATACCAAGGCCGGAACTCTGATCGGAATCGACCGCTTCGGAAACAAATACTTCGAGAACCTGGAGGAATTGCCTCGTAAGAAGACTCTTCTCATACTATAGCATTGAATCATGAAGTTCTAATGGTACTTCTCCGTTTAGTCCGAACACGATGGGTGGACTACAAGGAGGCCGAATACGACGCATCCCACATTGAGCCTGGCTGGTAAGCGCTTCTCTCAAGACACTGGGTCAACAATTCACCTGTGATTATGTCAGACTAACCTTGTCAAGGCACGCCTGGATCTCCTACCTCGTTGATGGGCCCCCGCACGCCGACAAGGTCATGCAGTCCGGTTTCCGTCCCTGGGAGCAGTCTGACCACCGCCCCAACCCGACTCTGAGCCGCGCTGCATACAAGACTTACTCCACGTACGTGCAATTTCCTGTGCGCAACATTTCGGTCTTTCCCGTGTATCGACTAACATCACTCTAGCACCCGGCCTAAGATAGCTGCCTGGACTCCCACCGCTGCTCCGCGGTAAACTTATTTGCAGTAGCAGAATCAATCCACTTGTTTTGCGTTTTAACTGATCCCGTTCTCCCTTTTCAACCTATTGGCAACTCATTCATCGATTTGGGAAATGTATATAAAGATGTTTTGCGAGTAGTGCTTAACTTTTCTTTTTACGAAGAAAGTCCGTTTTGAAATTGCGCCTTAAATGAAAATTGTAGTAATAGTCCTCATGGTATAAACAAGGTATCTCGTTGAAAGAAAGAAAAATTCCCGTTCCTAGAAGGGGTGCAAATGAAGTAGATACAAGAAGATACAGGATTTTGTGGCCTTTATTAGAGGACATAGACACCGGAGCCGATATTGGACCAGTGCCGAATTGGCCGTCGATCCTCCAGTTCAATGCACCACCAAAGCACTTCTTTCAGCTTTTCGACCTGCTCACCAGCCTCATATGCCCTCGACAACGCATACCATGCCTCGGAGTTGTCCCATGAGCTTCCGAGCTTTGTCAACGCCGAAAGAAGCCCATAGGCGCGATCGCGGGCCGCGAGACGATGCAGTTGCTTAGGCTCGACGTCATGTGCAGACAGAGGAGCCTCTTCGGGGCCTGCATTCTCGGTCTCGCTTGATACCTTGAGATCGTCGGTCGAGATAGCCTTCGCGGACTTGGGCTTGGGGTTTTCCGACAGCAATGACAGACGTGAGACGTTAAGATCCACGTCGGCATTCGATGGCTCCGGAGCTAATTTCTGGTCCCAAATGTCCAAGAGGAGATTGGCAAGTCCAATGGTCGCCGTTGGGTGGTCGTGATAGCGCAGCAACGCTTCCTCAAAGTGCCTGATGGCTTGATGGGGGCTCGATCGAGCCTGGGACAAGAGACCTTGTTCCGCATAGACATCAGCCCAGAGCTCCTCGGAGCTCTTTGAAGAACCCCAGCCGCGCTTGCTAAAAGATCGAGCTGAGGATTCATGCGATGCGACAAGTGCTTCCACTCGCGCGGCTTGTTTTGAAGCTTCTTCGCAAGCTTCACGGGCATCGTCGAACAGAGACGCTCGGCGATAAAGACCAGCGATAACAAGCCAGATTTTGATGAGAAGGCCTAAGGCGTGCTTCTGGGATTGAACTAGAGAAAACTTCGTGACGGCGCTTGTGGGAGAGTCGAAACGGTGACAGATTGGGAGCCGCATATCCTGCTTAGGGGGTTGTTCCTCATGGCCGACAGGGGGAGCTACTTGTTTATAGTTCATATTGTGTGCCATCGCCGGCAATGCTTGTTTGCCTTTGGTAGGATGGATCGTGGAGTCTGGTGTTGTACTGCCAGAAAATGCAATGCCGACCATTTCTGCGGATGTTTCACCCCCATTAGGAAGCGGGGGCTCTTCAAGTCGCGGCCTCTCGTTTTTATGGATGCTTGAACTTCGCTTTTTCAGTTTCTTGGAGTCTGCCCTCCCGATCGTCGGCGGTCTTCCCTGACGGCTGTGAGGATCTTCATCCGTGACTTGGATTGAAGGGGCATCCGTCATATGACCATTGGGAATAGCTGGGGTGGGTGGAGTGATGGCATCAGAACCATTACTATGGTCAGCACGGCGATCTGGTAACTGAGTCGTTCTGTTTCGGCCGAAAATGCTTCCACGGAAGCTCTTGGTAGTTCCGGCAGAGCTCTTTGGTGGTACTAGATGGTCTGCCTTGGCTTTAGTCTCTCCTGCCTCGAGGTTCAGGTCCTGGAAGAGAGTGCCAAAAAGACTCAATAATTGCGTGCTGTTGTTGACGGCAGCTTCGGGCCCTTCCAAAAGCTCGATGAACGCAAGCTGTGTAATGCGGGTTTGGACGATGCGTTCTTTTTCTCTACCCTGCAATCTCGTGACAATCGGGCGTTGATTGGGGTTTTGCGAATGCCTCGATGGACGCCGTTCGCGATGAGCCTTCGAGAATAATTCTCGGGGAAACTGCTCGAATGCAGCCTCACATGAACGCCCAGCAATCTCAAACTCTTGCTTCGCACTCAGCAGCAGCGCAAGCAGGTGCCACAGAGATACTAAGTCACGCTCTTTGGAAAGATCATCAGATACCGCAGCAGACGAGCTGCTTGGTGTCAGAGCTGACTTGACATAGTCAATTGCAGTGTCCAAATCTCTGTTCTCGGCCAAGACA